AATAGTTTTACTGGTGTTTATAAGTTTATATAAGTTCATGTAATGTTCCGTCTCTGTCAGTTTGGGCCAGCCCACCTTCTAGTGACATCATCCGGTTAGTAAGGTGGGCAGTTTAATGGCGGCTGGGCAGTGTTGGTCCGGAGGGGGTGCACTGATTCCTGGGGCATGTTAGGTGTGCGTAAATGACAAGTAAGTAGTGACCTGTGTCGTATTTTGCCTTTGTTGTGTCAGTACTGTAGTATGTTACCTTTTAGGAGCTAATGTAGTCCATAGTTGGAGCGGTAGGCCACGCATGCAATGCGTGAGTTCACCCTCATTTCATATGCTAACTTATGTTGTTAGCTTACCCCGGTTTAACTTTGTTGATGCATGTACGTTCGTTCGTATGTCCATAATGTCATTCCTGTGTTATCAGACCTTCTCTGTATGTTGTATGTGATGCTTGTGATTGCTTACTTTGAAGTAGCGGAGTTTGTAGCGAACAATTAGGTACGTGGATTAATAAAATAGCGAACGTAGTTTGACCGGAAATATAGCGTCCCGCTTGCCCTTCACAATAAGAGCATTATAGCGGATTATAACGGGGGATGCTTTTATTTTGTATAACTACCGGAAGTAGTTCCTGTGTACTGGCGGTTGCTTAACCTCGCACTGATGCTATTTCGTTGCATAGTGTGAGCAGTTTGAAGTGTATTATATTTCTGATCTTTATATTTGATTATGTTAACTATGTTGTATTATGTTTATATTTGAGTATTTGACTTGTTTATTATCTTTATTGATTGTTATTTCCCTTGTTTATTTCCTTGTAGGAAACCACACACACACACACACACCCAGACACACACTGATGTACACCCGCTGTGTTTACAGCCCCAGAAATTAAGTGGTGACAATAAAGTGCCTCAAACGGAACCTCAAGCTCCCTCCTTCTTTCGTACTCTGGGACAATTTGGCCTTAAGTGGTGTTCTGGCCGACACACCGGGGTGACCGTAGTGCTCAAAGACTGAATCAGTGCCACAGCCGTGCCTATCTTTGATATCTCCACTACATTAGTGAGCTTCTCCAAGATGTTATCCAATTTTCGCTCAGAGGTCTTAGTCTGCGTGTTCACAGCAGCCTCAAGCTTCTCCAAGATCTTATCCGTGCTGCGTTCAATGAGCCCATTTTGAGAAGTCACGACTGTTAGAGTGAATTGTTAAATGTTTGTCATTTTTATGTTTACCATTTGTACATTGTTTTAACTCTGATGAAAGAAATTCCACTGTCCTTCCCCCCAGATTCTCGAGGTTCTAGGTGGGGGGCTGTAGTCTTTTATCACAGACACATCCTTGTGCTTTTGATGTAAGCTTCCTGCGTTTACGACCCTTTGGTCAGCAGGAGGTCTGACACACACACACACACACACACACACACACACACACACATTCTGATACAGAAGTTCACACATATACATACAATGCTTGTCTTAGAACAAGGGGGCGTGGCTTTGTTCTGACGTGTTTTGTGTGAACTGTCTCTCAATAAAAGGCTAGCAGGAGGAGGTCAGATCTGGGGTCATTTTCGTGGTGGACACAGACGAGGCCTCCCTTGCGCAAATAATCGATCGATCGACTGTCTTGTTTTCTTCATGATGAATAAGTCTCTAGAATTAGCGGGGCTTGTGGAAACACAGACCCTACAACGACTCGTCCCATCGCTTCAATCACAGCGGGCAGCCTTGTGGGGTTTTGAACAGCCAATTCCGCTTTCTTTAATCTTCGATAAGCCAGGGCCAAGCCAGCTCCGATCAGCAAGAACCCTGTTATCATGGTTCTGAAAAGGTAGATGTCTTCAATGTCCTCGATCGACAGTCCCGCCAGGCACACTGCCCTCCAGTTATGCCACCCGTCCATCATGTATCCGGCAGGGAACATCCCTCCAGGACACTCAGGCTCACCCGAGCCCAGGTTCCTCGTTGAGAGGAGGGTGTCAATTGCATTCAGGGACCAGTTGATCAAATCCATAATTCCTATTTTAGGTTTTAGAGAACAGACTGTGAGAGTGTTCCAGGGCAAGAGTAGAAAAGTAGACGAGACTAGACAAAGACACAAGAAGCCAAGCAGGGAAGATAAGGGTAAGGGAGAGGAGAAAAGTGCGACCGCCTTCCTCAAGAGCCAAAGAAGAATGTTTTTTGAGTTTTGCAACTGGGATGGACAAGGCTAAGCATCAGGCTTGCAAATGAATTAAAAGTCTGTCTTGGTCTTTGGTTGATTAACAGGCTGGTGAAAATTTGTCTGAAAATTAAAATAAATGTCATGAACCGAAGTTCAGTACACAAGCTGGACCCAGAAGCAGAGACAACACGGACAGGAGTAGAAAAATAAACTTTATTTCAACTAAAGTGTCCTCGGAAGGGTCAAAGGAAAACACGCGAGAAACTAGAAAAACCAAGGGACCGGGGGATGAGTTACGCAGGAACGCAGTAATCGGGACTGTGGGAGGCTGCAACAGAAAGAGGAAGAGAGTTACTGGGGAGCGGGGATAGCAGCATACGTGGGGGAGAGTATGAGTCTTACAGTCAAAGCGGGGCCGTGGGAGCCGGAGGGAGGGGTGAGGGTCCGCGGGGGAGCTCCAGGAAAGTAGAGGTGATTGGTACCGGAGGCGATCCAAACTCCAGACGGGCAGGTGGACAGGCAGGTGGCTCAAAAACACGCCGAGCTGTTACCTGAGCGCAAAGGAAAAGATTAGCGTTTGTTCAGGTAAATGAGGGTTTTCACAACCGCCTTCCCGTGGGTGTACGTTACCGCTGTGAGACGACTAACGGACTGGCGTGGAGCAGCTGGCTGGGCTGGATCAAATAGTCCACCTGATAATCGCCTGAGATGGGATGCAGGTGTGGAGTTAACAGCCACACCCGTGGGCGTGGGCATCCCATCAGCTCCTCGGACACCGGGCCGCGGACCATGACAATAAATGCCAACATATTTTCTTATTTCTGTAGTTATACTAACTCAGTAATATTTCTATACATCCAACCTTTTTTCTTGTACTTATCAGGTTTATATGGAGGGCTGGGTGTTTTATCTCAAATGTTTTATTTTTTTGTTGTGCTTGTCATGGATTAGTAAAGTTTCAAATGCATTAAAAATTCAAGAAATTTATTAACCACCATAAACTTGAATAAACACAGAGCCAGTACCAAATTTTAATACATTTTAATCATTGCAGTAAAATGGTGAAACCCTTATAACAGTTTCTGTTTTACAGAAAATTGTAAAAACAGCAGAATAACAAGATTTGAAATGTTTTTTGTTTTACTAGTCGATGCATCTAAAGAGTGAGTACTGATTGACCATCTCCTCCAAGCCCAAGCAGGTATCCCGGTATTTGTCAGTCTGACACTCTTCTGCTGTAGGCCAATACTCAACCCAGGTTCTCTCACCAATTACGTACTCGAATCTGAAAAGAACAATTGAAAGAAAAATAGTGTTTGTGTGACCAATCAGCAAAATACAGAATAAAACAACTGTGATAAATATACACAGTTCAAGTTAATTACATTTATTCACTGAAGGTATGATTAATGAATAGAACTCTGAGATTAGTTTAAATATACACCACACACAAGCACAGCCAGACAAACAATATACTTACGTATTCTTTTTGTCATCTCGGTGAATATCTTTATCTGAGCCCATGAGAAGGTAGGTTTTTCCTTGTTCCAGACTTAAAGCTTCTCTGCAGTGTTGATAACTGAGAAATATGCGCTGTTTATTCAGTGGACCAACATCAAGACTCCCTGTAATTAAGATATGACAGTTGAGAGCAGTGATTTATGAATGACTGAATGTGTTGCTCTATAAACACAGTGCTGCTGTGTCCATATACATTCCTAGTTGTATCATCATAATACAGTATTATACAGATAATACTAGTATTTTGGCAATATGCCTATGCTGATTATTAAATGTTAAATGAGAAAATGGGTATCAGCAAGACAAGCCACACTGACTTACTGATAGTAAATGGTATCAACCACTAAATGTACCGCTTAGTACAAAAGCATGCAGCAGTTTTATAAAATGCTCGATTTGTCCTTCAAATTGCCTATTTTTTTTGTGGCTATAATAGAAAATAACCATCACTGCTATCTTAATGCCACAAAAAACAACAACTAGTAATTTCTCTTAAAATAGACGTTTAAAGGACGTAGGTACTTGCCTTCTTTGATGGGGTCCAGCACTTTGACTTTGTGACTGTCTGTGGACAACTCTTCTACAACCTCTTCAACCAGTACTTTGTAAGCTGTGGGCAGCCAAAGTATAATTTTTAGCTTTTTGCATTACTATATCCTATTAAATAAAACTAAATGTAACCCATTTATGTTTGTTTACCAAAGTCTACTTTGCTGGTCTCTGTACTTTCACAAATCTTAGCTTGGCGGTCATCATTGGGGATTTTTTCCTTCTTCTGCATACTGCAGTTCTCTGTAAGTACACAATAGGTACAGGGTAAAAATGCAAAGCTGATGTATACATGTGTGTTGATAGGTGACTGCAGGTATATGAAGTCGAATATACTATTTAAATCTTATTTGCTAAAATAGGCGTCTTTTATAATTGTAGATTAGTGCATAGATCTAAAGTTACTAACAGCACAATAGCTAGTTATGAAAAACAAATGTGCTTTCACAGGCCAGAATACTGCAGTGTGAAAGTATACCCAATGATTCAAAAGCTTGCAGAATCACCTTTAGCAGTAATAAGATTTTTTTTTCTCTGAAATCAGTGTCTCGCATCATTTGAGGAGTTTTAGGTTTGTGGGGATTTGCCCCTGTATAAGTCTATCATATTCCTGCCACAGCATTTCAAAGGGGTTAGGGTCTGGACATCGGTCCCAGCTGTCCTGTTATAGATTTGCTGTGTGCTTGTGTTTTTGTTAAGAACCAGTTTTCACCATGCTTTAACTGTTGGTCAGACAGCCTCCTATGCGACTCAGGAATACTTGGGGATACACAGGAGTTCATGATTGATTTTTCATAACTGTATGCCAAAAAGGCACTGTGACACAGGATCAGCATATCCACAGCTTCAGGTGCCTTCCACCCACCCTCAGGTTTAACCAGTTCATTGTCAGGAAGAACTTGCACCCAAACAAAACTACATAAAAAACACATTTGCTCAAAATTTGACTATTAAAATGAAACCTTTACTTTAATCACACTTCTAATGCTGTGTTCTGTACCATTTAAAGTTATAGAAAAATGCATGAAAACATTTTAATTACTGTTGTAAAATAAGCTTTTTTAATCACATGTATATGATTGTGTTTACCTTCAGCACATGTGCATATGTTATCTCTACAGAGCTGCAGTAGTTTTCCAGCTTCCCTCTCTGGATGGTAGAATTTCACACAGCGTGTTTCTGCAATACAAAAGAAGGTATTTCTCTATTATGTCATGGTCCTGCGACCATGACTCGGTGACTTTGTGTTTGTGTTCTTTATTGTTATTACTTTCATTATTATTCATGGCTGTTTTGGGATGGTTTGTGTTTTGGGATTTTAGATACTGGGTTTTGGGTTTGTGCTCCCTCTATTGGTCCCTGGTGTCAGTGTTCCCCTGTCTCGTCAGGTTAACCAGGTCCAGCTGTGTCTCCCACCTGTGTGTGATTTCCCAGTGTCTCTCTGTGTACTTATAGTGTGTGTCCTCTGCTCCTCGTCGCGTCGTCTGTGTTCATACCCTGTGAAATTCCCTGCGTGCTCTCCCTGCTGTTTCTCACTTCGATGTTCAGGTTTGCTACTCCTTGGCTTAGTTTCTCCCAGTTTAGTTCATCCTTAGTTCTGTTTGCCATCTCCCCTTTATGTTTGGTACTATCAATAAATCACCTTCACATCTGAGTAAGTGCTGCATTTGAGTCCTCCTTTCCACTCTTCACACGGCTGCTGCCCCGGACCGTGACAATTACTTTGTGACCGCTATGGTAGATATAACAATGTATATGGCAATGACAAATCACGCACACAAATGAACTTAAGTGACATCCCATTCTTAATCCATACGGTTTAATATGATGTCAACCCAACCTTTGCAGCTGTAACAGCTTCAACTCTTCTGGGATGCTTTCCACAAGGTTCAGGAGTGTGTTTATAGGAATTTTTGATCATTCTTCCCAAAGTGTATTTGTGAGGTCAGACGATGTTAGATGAAAAGGCCTAGTTTACAATCTCCATTTTAATTCATCCCAAACCTGTTCTATCAAGTTGAGGCCAAGACTGTGTTCAGGCCAGTACATGCTGCCCGTGTGTCTGTTCCAAGAAAGACCTCACCATTGTAACGGGCTGGCATTGTCTACCCATCCCTGCACATGTATGTACGGACAGAGTAAAGCAGTGGAGACCTGGCTTGAGTGGGCTTATGTTGCTAACGTCAAATAAAGGTCTGTTGTTTGATTTAACTGACTGGCTTTGAGTTATCTGGCTAACCTCCACACAGTATGCCCGCTGGACCTGCTAGCTGCTCCTTCCTCGCCAGACTGCTGTTACACCATGTCTTGATGGACCTTGCATTGTGCACTATAGTGCAAAACCGGTGTGTTGAAACATTCTCATCCCCAAACTGTTGCCACAAAGTTAGGAGTGCGAAATTGTCTTTTTTTTATCTGGAACTCCTGACAAACAACCGAACTTTAGACTTGGCACAATTTAGTCAGAAAAGTACAGCTGCTTGGCAGACAGCAGTTTGCATGTCTAGGTGCTTATTGGAACACCTGAAGGTAACAAAGGTAAGATGTTTATAAAACTCACGTTCATAGTATTCATAGACAGATACGGCTGCGGGTTGTAAGACGCCCACCGGCATTTCCTGTTTGATCCTAAAAGCAATTTCCTCTGGTCGTGTGTGAGAAACCTGGGAATTGAAATACAGATACACACAAAAGTGAAAAACATAAATAGACACCAGGGTAAAGGGGAAAAGGGGGGATAAGGAGAAAGATTGGTGTGATTTCCAACCTTGTCCAAGTAAATGATGAGTGAGCCTCTTTCTGACAGGACTTTGTTCATCTCATATTTTGATATGGTGCGGCCACGTCCTCTAGACAACTAGAGACACACAAAAAGGCCAATTTTTAAACATTAAGAGGTCTTATTTTTTTGTTTAACTGTAACCACATAACTTAATGTGGGTGTCTCTTCTTACCAAATCCAGGTCTTTTGTTTCAACAGCAAAACCAGTTAGTAAGCCAATATCCAAGATTGACATGCCTGCATCACGATCCCTGTTCTTATACCTGTAGAGAGAATGATAAGAATGATTCAAATGACAGCAGAGTTAAATGGACGGGAACAAAAAAATCCTTAAGCCAAAACTATTTCTAAAGTGTAGTTTATATTGTACTTACATGACCTCTATCCTAAGTTTGTATATCTTTTCAGTTGCATTGATTTTTCTGAAAGAATAAGGAAAAAGAAAAAATGAGCACAAACAAATAAAATGCCATGAACTGAAGCAAACAGATTTAATGAGATGAGTAAAATAAAAAGAGGAGATAAAGGACATCAAAGTACCTTCTACGAGATCCACTGAGAGGGTAAAATTCTGGCAGTCACTCTCCCGTTCTTTGGGCTTAGCGTAATACAGTGATACCAACTGTTGCATCAGAAAAAGTGTGTTTTTATATTGTGTGATAAATAAGTCTTTGTAATACTGTTCTTTTAAGGTTTAAAAAGCCTTGTCTAGGATTCTGAAATGATCAACTAACAGATAACTTACTGTCACTGTTGCTTCTCCTGTTCCCCTAGCAGTCACTGTGATGTCCTGGTTTATATCGTTAATCTGTTGGGATTAATATGTACAAACACACAAAGATGTGTTTGTACATATTATGAGAAAAAAACAGAGATAAGCTCACTTCGCTCCCACTGACTGAATTTAAATTGCATTGAATGTCTGTTAGACAGGAAAAAAGGAAATAGACCAAAAAGCTTGCAGAGTGGTGAGATGGATTGCCAAAAAGACAGAAACACTAGCAGTAGTGAGATTTATTTACTGCTAGAGGACATGTTTTCAGACTGACAAATTGTGCTACATGGTGACTGTGTTTGTGTTGCTTCTTCTCACTTAGACGTTCTTGTGGCATAGTGGTTGTTCTGATTGAAATTGTACTTTTCAGGTGCCGACCTTCCTGGCAACTTGATGTCCACATTCAGATCATACTGTGGTTCGTTAGCGTTGATCCAGTACTCTGCTACAGCTTGATAGACCATTATAGTAGCCTGGAGAGAAGAAAAGTGGGGGAGATAAAGAAAGGCAAAGGTTATAAGGTGGGATAATATGTATAAAATATCTGCCTATGATATCTTGATTGACAGGAAGTTTTGTGTTACCTGAGTTGATCCATAGCCTCCGCCCAGCTTCTGTTGTGTGTTGAACCATCTCACAACAGGTCTGGCATCTTCAAAGTTCTTTATTAAAACAGCACAAGACAAGAGTAGAGTTTTAAAATAAATTATGGAAAAACAATTTTCAAAGGTACTTCAGAGTTTTAGGCTTTCTAATCTGCTTTTTATTTGGGTATAATTAAAATCCAGTCCAGAAACTTGCCTAATGGAAGAAAACAGCAATGTTTTTCATAGTTCATAACAAAGCAATGTCTTATTTGTTTTCATTTGTGTTTGCACACAATAATAACACAACATAAAACTAAATGGAGAAATTTACATTAAATAAATGGTAATTCGAGTACTCTGGAATGGTCCGATGGTATTTTAATACTGTAGAATGTTCAATACTAAATTGAACATAGGTGTGAATGTGTGATTGAATGTGAGTGCGACTGGTTGTCCCATGTCTATGTGTTAGCCCTGCAACAGACCTGCCCAGGGTGAACCCTGCCTCTCACCCTAAGCTGGGTTAGGCTCCAGCGACCCTGAAAAGGATAAGCGGAAGCAAATGGATGGATGATATAATTTAGACATGCTCACCTGAGTCTTGACAAGAGCAAGAAGAGCATAAGCTGTGGTTTCCAAAGTGTAAGTGCCCCCTCTAGGTACAGGCCAGTGAGATAGCTCTGACAGACACAATCACACAAGTACATTTTTATTACTATAATATATCTTGAACACATCTACCTCAGTAGTAAATTTGTGAATATAGTAAAAATGTGAA